TAAAATAAAATAGAATTACTATTTAAAATATAATAAATAAAAAGATAAAGCTTACTAATAATAATTAATTCATATAGCACCAATTCTTATGAGGTTGGAATACTGAGTAGAACTGCCAGATCATGATTAGGTTGTTGCTGAAAGGCATAAACTGATCCCTTCAGTTTATGCAGTATTAGATATACAGAAAGATAAATATGGGCAAGCTGAAGCAGTAATATATTCAGGTCCAATATTCATAAGAATTCGTAGCGGTAAATATGATAGCAGTACCGCTTACTCTTATAGCAAAGACTTCGATGACCTGATGGTTGAGAAGAAATTACACAACCATACTATGACGGATGGCCAGTCTAAACCCATGGTGGTAATGATATCTGATGGTAAACCCGACGAGAATCCATGTTATAGAAAACAGTTTAGATGATGATAGATTACTTTACTAAATATGATCTTGATACCATCATCGTGGCATACTTTGCACTATACCAGAGTGCATCCAATCCAGTAGAAAGACGAATGGCACCTTTAAGCCATGACTTAGCTGGTATAATCCTCCCACATGATATCTTTGGATCACATTTGGATATACAGTTAAGGACAAGTGATAAGAAATTAGAAAAACGCAATTTCAAAATGGCCAAAGATGTTTTGGCATCAATGTGAGAGGATACAATTATCAATGGTTATCAGGTTCTTGTTAAGTATATAGATCCTTCTGACGAATTCTACTGCCTAACTGAAAGATTAGCAGCTTGGATGAAAAAACATGTAATGACTTGTCATTATATAACTCAAGTCATAAAGTGTCTGCTGTAAACCTTTTCACAGTGGAATCAAACAGATTCTTCTGAATCACTTTTTCCCACCACCACTTCTGATCCAACAAAAGCTTCAAAGTATTTGCGTAGCAAGCATGGGTATATTTGACAATACAACTCACTTTGGCAGCTTTCTTCTTTCTATATTAATGGAAGGAAAGTTAACTCCTCTAGATACAAATCTACAGTATTTCCTCTTCGATTGGTATTGCCCAACCGTAAATAAATTAATTAATGATTATCTCTGTTCTTATTGTAATCAGTACTATGCTTTGAAAAGAGCTTTGAAAATCCATATTAAAAAATATAAAAAATTCAACTTATCTAAAGAACCTGTTTTGGATATTCAAGATAATGAAAGTAGTGAAACTATGCAGGTGGATGAAGAAGTAGTACTGGAAGATCTGTTAGAAACCTATCCTCAGCAAGTGCAAGTTCAAGAAAAGTTGATTGCAGATAGAGTATTAATAGTTAA